TCTCAAAAATACTATATTAGGTGTCAAAACTTGAATATTAACTCTTTCTGTCTTTTGGTGGAATATTCCTGATGCTGCCTTGCCTTCAACTGCCCCAACCTGTATGCTCACACAAGCATAGACACTTTTAAGAAAAATTATCCAAGACATGGACATACGATGCAGAGATTGATGGACATCCTACCAGTGTAATGCTGAGTACTGAATAGGACACATAACGTGACTGAGGATTAGCTAATTTTCTAGGAGTGGTTGTCTTCATTAAACTATCTTTTCACTATTGATTAGCATACTTTACAGCTCTGTAAGGATATAGGTTAAATTGTAGAAAACTGATATTTGTGAAATCATTTCTTGACTGGGATCACTACAGTGGATTCTTGTTCAACAGTAATGTAAAAATTATATCTATCTAAAAGAAAAAGTAACTGCAAATATTAGGGTTTATTGCCATACATGACATTAATCAGTTTTATATCTAGTTGCAAATGATTTTCAGCGTTACTGTGACTGACAGACTACATAAATCTTCATTTCTTGAAGTCTGCTTTGAACTAGGTTTAACATCTTACTGGTTCCCTTATTAATGAACTGAGTAAAATTTTTGACACTTCTTTGTTTATAACCTTTTGAAAAGTAGAAGTAGTGAAAGAGGCTTTTAAAGATGTGTCTTCACAGTTTTGGGGGGTGCATGTTTATCTTTCACTCAAATTACCCTTGGAAATATGTTACAGAACAGAAAAAAAAAACATCTTTAGGGCAACATACAGGCTAAACACTAGACTTCTTTGAAGTATGTGGAAATCGGTCGTATTCACCATGGTACTAAAGAATCCTAAAAAATATTGACTTTTCCATCACTCTTGTTTGGCATAAAATTCAAAGCAAAACCTTTTTTGTTCATCCAAACATAAGGTACAAGTTCTGTTTTATCCTTTATGATACTTTCTAGCTAGAAGTCGTGTTGAAGAAATTGGTGAGTGCGTCTCTGCTTGAAACCAACATCTCAATATATGATTTCCTTTAGAATATCTGTGTACTATGTTGGAGGAGGGGGTGTAAAAAATGTTTTATTCTTCAACCAAAAAAAGTCCTTTTCTCAAAAGTTGTATAGATTTTTAAAAATTATTCTGGCAAAAAAAAAAAAAAGATAATTGAACAGTCATGTGAGATAGGTTTATGTATGGAAATCAAGTTAAGAGTAAATATATAGATATAGCTATAGATAGATGTAGTGCAGAAACAGATGTAGATATAGAGGTAGATATAATATTGACCTTGTAACAAAATCAAACATTCATTTATCTACCTATCTTTTATTTATTTATTTATTTATTCATTTATTTATTTATTTATACATACATACATACATACATACATACATACATACAAGCTGGATATTTTGGTTTTGAAAATTTCCAATAATCTTTTTGGGTTATTTTTGCCCAGTGCAGTAAATAGGTTACTTTCAAGCTAATTGGAACTAATTGAGTAAAAATAAGGCAGAGTCTTATAGAGAATACATAGCTTCTTCCCCTACAATTCAGCCCTCCCAAATTCTTTGTATTTACACTTACTTAGATGCCATTGTAAAATCAAAACAACTTTAAAGGAGAAGGGAAACATGCGGGGTAAAATGCTTGGGTAGGCCGCCAACTACAGAGAGTGTTTAGGATGTTAATTTCAACCATGGTTGATCAGCGAGCAAGAGGACCTTTTGGGGTTTATACTTGACATTACTTACGAATGTGTTCATTATGTATAAAATATTTTATCTTAAGCCTGTTTAACTGATATCTTTATCTCCTCATTTGAGTGACATGGTTTAGGGTGTTGTGAGGTGGATGGTGAGTGTGCCATACCCATCACATACTCATATGCTCATCTGTCCCACAGCACCCCTTTTCCTGTCATTGCTGTGCTCCAAGTCACTTGCCTTAACTCAAGATTTCTGTTTATTAACTACAGAGAATTTCTCTGCATACTTATTTGCTCCTCAGCTTGCCATTTTGACTTTATATCTACCTATTTGATTACCATGGTTGCAAGATGATGGATTGAACACATTTCAGCTTGCCTCTCTTATGTTCCTGGTCCCTAAAAATGGCTTAAGAAATGGCAATAAATCCAAAATTACAGCAAAAAAGATAAGGGTGTCTTTTTTGGGCTCATTGGCCCACACACTGTGAGAATCCTTTGAAGCCCAAAATAGTTGAAGGAGAATTTAAGTGGCTACTGAGAATGCCTGAGGATTATTGCTGCAAAATGGGAATGGGCCACATCTGGAAGTGTTTGTGGTTACCAGGAGCCTGGAGGGCTCAAAGGCCAGCTCTGGACTACTTTGTTGGTTGTGCTATTGCAGGAGCATCTGTCTCTCTCCTTGCTCATTAACTCCTACCTCATGATTGTCCAGGCTGAGAGGGGCTCTAGACACAGAAAGTGCCAGATTTTGAGTTAGATATACACACATGCAACTCCTTTTTAAAAATTAGTTTATCATACATTATATGTGCAGAGTTTAGATCTATATGACCTAGTGAATTTATATTAGATAGCATAGGAAGCTCAATTCTATTCAAACCTTTCCCTCCTAACATAGGGCAAAGACAGATGAAGTGTAAAAAAGAAAAAAATAAAACATGGCCCAGAAGTGTTGAACAGTGAGTAGCAATAAAGTTCTCCCCTTTTTACTGCTCCTGGTTTGAGGCTTGGCTGTAGTAAAATAAAGAGGATCTAAAGTTTAATTCTGCTTCTGTTTTGAAATTTGTATTTCATTATGTTTACTATTACCATTTATAGTGATGTAGAAGGTAAGTGTCCTTTACCTTAAAATTTTACAAGAGCATTTTATATCAATGCAATGTCATTTTCATCTGAGCCATACCTGAGTCAGAATAATATTCGGAGTTAATCAACTCTTCCCCTCGATCCCCAATTATTACCACTTTTGAAAATAAGTATCTTTCTGTAATAGATTATGTTCACTGAGTTGGAGCTAAGAGAGAGAGTAACTAATCTGAAGAGTTAATCAACCGTCCCTCCCTGGTTCCTAAATAATCGTCATGATTTCAACAAATTCTTCAGTTTGTTCTTGGCAAATGAGTCTTCCTATGTTGTCTAGAGTGTTTTAAAAACTCATGCTATAAAATGCTTATTGTAGACACTTTAAGCAGGTGTACAGAAATAACTATGATAAACCAGCAATGTGTGATGAATGACCTTTCAGACTTAGCACAGATGACTGGCAAATGCATGTGAGAAAACAGACTTTTCTAAGCAGTTCACATGGGAGATGCTGTACAACTTAGAATCATCTATCAGAGAAGACTGAGCTGGCATTAATTGTAAAAACCCGTTAGTATAATTCTTCAACTGATGGATAAGTAAACTGAAAATTAGGGTAATTAAGTGATATATGGAGTCCTGCAGTCCATTAGTGCCAGAATCAAGACTAACACCAAGGTTTTCTCACTATCAATTCAGTACTTTCTCACAACATTACACTAAACAATAATAGAAAAGTGATTGATGAACTATGATTATTTAATCTAATCTACCTTGGTTTGAAAACACCAATTCAATATTTTATTTAAGCCAACTGAAACCGAAAGGAGCAAATCCAAACTTAAAGATATTGAAGGCAATTACTATTCAATCCGTTATGCAGTTAATAAATACATCTAGAAAGTATGCTACATATTACCGAGTAATTCATCTTCCCCAAAGACATGAATTCCGCATGTCATACTTTCCGTTTAATAGCACAAACTGTAGCAAGTAGATAGGTATGTGCATATTTTTCTGACATGTTTATTAAAGCTGTACAACAGCTACTAAATAGATATTCTGAGAGCAAGGAGTTCTAATTTCAAAGGAGGCTTATTGACTTCTATTCAGTTTCTTATAGGAAAGCCTTGGGGAAGGGGTCTTTAAGAATTTGGTGGATGAGGAAAATGGTATAACTGAAACAGAGGTGAAAATTCAAGAAGTTGAGGACAACATAAGACTACAAAGTTACTTCAAGAAGTGGTAGAACTTTATACTTTCTTGAAAAGTTTGCCCAGGGCTGGCCATGTTAATCACAGTTGACAATCACTTTTAAACTGTCTATTGCTCTTACTGGATCATAAGAGGCAAATCTAACTCTTTTGACGTTACTTTTGTGAGTCTAGTGAGGACTCAGATAACCTGCAGCCCCAAAACCTAACTCTTAGGACTAAATATGAAGGCTGCCTCCATCAACATTCCAGTATTATTTATTCTGGAAAATTATTTCCCAGAAAGATAAAGATATAAAACAGTAAATAACTTCATTGTTTGCTTCAGGATCTTCTCCAAAATGCAATAATCTAAAAGGAATGTGCTCAATCAGACTTTTCCTAGAACAACAGTTTTATTTAGGTAGGCAGCCTTCTGAGGACAATAGATGGTTCAAATAGGCAAAGAGATCACTCATCCCAATATTAGTAACTCAGGAACACTTATCTAAGATCCTTACCTTCATTTGTCCATAGAACCTAAACCATGATATCAAAAACTGTACCCAGTCCAAATCAGATTCAAGCCCTAAACACCTAACTTCAACCACCGAAGCCTTAAACCCTAGAAATAACTATTTCCCATCTTCCCCTTTTAAGAAACTGAATGTCTCTTAAGGTGATGCTCTCCCTTACTCTAACAAGTTAATTAACTGAGCTTTCTTTGATCAACATTTTAATTTGGTGGTCTGTTTGGGGAGTTGTCAGCTGACATTACTAATAGCAAAGAGGGTTTTTGGCCAAAAGAGTTGCAACTACTGTATTATTCAGAAGATGTATCTTAAAGTTTTTGCTAGGACGTTGATCTATTTATTTTTCCATTATCACTTCTTTGTTAGATAAGAGGTTATGGGAAGTATTTGTGTCAGAAATTATTGTAGTCAGCATTTTATGTCCTTTTTCCTGACGGTCACTCCACAAGCACCTGTAAAATACAGCTGCTAGATTCTTCCCACTACTGACCTGCTGGGAGACAGGGCAGCTTTGCCTGGCTTTCTCTTCCTTCACTCTCTCCTTTGCACAGGAGTATGCAGATATAGCTGATGCCTTGGCCACCATGCTGACTCTCAACTCAGCTAATTTCTTTGCTCCCCGTGGAGGCATGAAGAGGTCCTGTTAACACCAAAAGAAAAGTTAGGAGTTTTCCTAAAGGCTACTCTGTCTGACTGAGCTGTGAGCTGAGTTTCCCTTCATGTGACCTCCCTTCATTTTGTTGAGGAGCCAGGTGAGGAACATTTCTATCTCTAATTCCAAATGTGAATGTATGTGGGGGAAGATAATCCCCTGAGACTAGGAATTTCCCTGAACCTACAAAACAAGCACTGTACTTTGAGGCAGAGAGAAGAGATGGTGGCACACCTGTGACCAACTGCCTCTGTGTATTTAATGTTCCTTCTGTCTGCAATCCAACAAGGTCAGAAAAGGCAGAATCAAGGCTGGCTTCATGGGCATGTGACCTGTGCAGTTGTACAGGGTCACATACTTGGTTTAATACCCGGTTGTCACTGTCTTGATATTGTCATGATATTTGATCAAGGGACCTGCTTTTTCATTATGAAAATTACATAGGTGGCCCTGGGCAGGCTTTGTTTTTAGCTTTCTTTCTAGACACCATGGTCCTTTATGTAGAGCCTTAAAGTCCAGTGTCAAATAGAAGATGATAAATTCTCTAAAATTCTCTCTTGACAATCTTGCCTTTCTTGCTGCAAAATATTGCTGCCTATCTTGAAGAATCAAAAATCCAAGTTTAGGTAATGAAATTTGAACTCTCCCTTTTGAAGCTACTTTTTAATAATTTTAACCTCTAGCTGGCCCAAGGCAGAAGAAATCTGGAGAATGCCATGTAAACAGAATTTTATATATAATTAATAAAAACATAAAAGCAAAATACAAGCAGCACTAAAAAATAAATAATTGGGTTAAATATTGGTAATAAATATGAAAAAGTTTCCTCTTTTGTAACAAATACAGATTAATAAAAATAAGATAAATGCCACAGTGGAAAAATATGAAAACATACACAAATACCCCATTAATATGTAAAATAGTAGTCATGCTTGGTTTAAAAAAAAAAAAGAAATGCAAATACAAGGAAGTATTTTATCTCCCAATCAATTGTAAAATAATTTTAAGGGTTAAAAATTCCTTCAAGATTGCCAATATCCATTCTTATCTGTTGCTGACAGTAGAACAGACTACACTATGCATAACCCAAATTTTCATGTTATTTATTCATTTCATCCAGTAATTTTACCTGAAGTAATTTACCATAAAGAAAGGCGCTGTCAAACAGTTATGTATAAAAAATTCACAGCAATGTTATCCATAATGTAGACAGTATGACACTAGACATGTAGAAATAATCAGAGATGCAGTCCAGAATTTATATGTAAAGATGTTCACTGTAGTGTTATTCATAATAGAGACAGTTCCCACCTTTGTATACAACGTTTTCTTGAAAATATGTATGTATTCAGAATGCCAGTAGGATGAAAAACAGACTTACATAAAATAAAGATGTTTCTATTCCATGAGAACCAGAAATATCATAAATCTCTAATAAAACCTTGCCAAAATTACAATTTCAGTGAAATACTCCCAGATATCCTACTTTATATTCTACTTTGTTTCAGTTTTATCTTGCGAATGATACTTTTTCTTATTAGTATCTGTGGTTGTTTCATTCATATATTATCACATCATAAAAAAAAAAAGAATTCTGAAAAAAACAAGTCCTCAATTAATTGCACAAACTTGAAGAACCAAAATCAAATAGGCTAATGTTTTTGTTCATTATCTGATTTACTCATATTAAGGATTCTATTCAGCATGTGAGATTTGTTTTAGGGAGAGTAGCACATATTTCATGAGAATTTGGATTTTGAAAATGAAATACATAAGTCAAAACCACTATGGTTAAAAAAATTAAAAGTACCCAAAGTACTCAACATAAGTCTTCAAATAGGAGAATTATAAATACTTTACAGGAAAGCCTTTCAATTCCTTGGAATACTGGAGGAGCTATTCCAGGTGGAGAAAATTTTAGTTCATGGGCTTTCTGGACAACATACACAAACTTAGCTGTTTTAGGAGTAATTCGACTGTGGGTAAGGAAAAAGTTTTCCTCAACCCTCTTAGGATTCCTCATTGGGTCTGAAAATTAAACTGACAAAAACAGATTCACAAGTGAAGAGAATATACATTCACTTAATACAGCTTAATGTGACACAAGAGACTTCATAAGGCAATTAAAACCCGGAGAAACAGACCTGAGTTTTTTTATGAGCAGTGAGATGAAAAGTGGGCTATCCTATAGAAATATGATAGGTAAGACAGTGTGAGGTTAGTGGAGTAAACTGGGAAACTTAGCAAGACTTGTTTGTTCAGATTCTTGATATCTCTTTGTCTTCACAAATAAGGATTGTCCTTTCCTTGGGGTATCCTGAGGGAACATCTCACATGAGGGTTTTATAACTTGTTTCAGGAAATAAGGGGGAGGAGAAAAGGTCAGAATGAGCTTTCTGCTTCTGCTATTTTCTAAAACTTCTTCAGCTTAAAATATTTAATATTTCCAGTTGCCATATTTTGGGATAGTGTGCCCTGAAGTGCATCAGAACATCATCCCAATGATGAATGGGCCTGGCAGGTCATGATCATGGAGGAGACAACATTCCTGCAGACATCACATTCTACACTTTTCCTTCTTTACTCCTTTGAATAGAGTTGCAGGTTAGGTTTGTGATAGAGCTGGCCTTCCCATGATTCAAGGTATTGGGCCAGAGTTAAGGGAAATTCTTTCTCCAGGATCTGGTATAAAGAATATATCACTTTGTATTAATATCACACACTAATAAGTCTTAGATACATATAAGAAGACAAATAATAAATATGTTGTAAATTACTGTAAGTTTTTCTTGACATCTCTATTTCCAGGATGTTAACATAAATGTCAAGCTCTTATATATTCCCTTAACACCTCCTGTTGTAAACAATACTAGCAACTTTCTATAAATGTTTATAGCTCTCCTGATTTACTGTAATCTCCCTAAGGACAGAGAATTTGTCTGTGATACTTTGTTTTATTCTTAGCACCTAAAAGAGTGAGAGGCACATACAATGTGCTTAATAAATATATACTAAATACACAGAAGCAAGTAAACATTTGTTGAGCAAATGAATGATTAAGCTCCAGTTGAGAACTTCTGGAAATCTGCTTAAGACCAAACGCTATCATCTCAGGTTTTCCATGATTCATCTCATGGATTTGCCATAATTAGCCCTGATATTCCATGTACTGTATTTCAGTCAGGCCGAATTAGCCTTGACAGTTACATCATTCTCAAAATGAACCATCTATGTTCAGATTTTTTCTTTTATGTACTCCTACAGCTGATAAAACAATATAATAGAAAATTATTGCTTAATAAATGTTGAGCTGCATGTAAATGTAGAGCAGGAAAAGCGTTTCCTCTACCCTGTTATGTTTACTTGTTTGTTTGTTTTTTACCAATGGTGTGTGTGAATGAATTAAAAAAAAAAAAAGCAGGTTAACAAATTATATCTGATGTTAGTATTTTTAAAAATTTTTTTAACGTTTTATTTATTTTTAAGACAGGGAGAGACAGAGCATGAACAGGGGAGGGTCAGAGAGAGGGAGACACAGAATCCGAAACAGGCTCCAGGCTCTGAGCTGTCAGCACAGAACCCGACGCGGGGCTCGAACTCACGGACCGCGAGATCATGACCTGAGCCGAAGTCGGCCGCTTAACCGACTGAGCCACCCAGACGCCCCATGATGTTAGTATTTTTTTTTAAATTAATTAATTTATTTTTTTTTGATGTTAGTATTTTTTATAAAGAGAGGGGATTTACAGAAAAGAAGTGAAAAGCTCAAAGAAGTGGTTAGACTAGAACACTTGTATACCACCTTAACAAAGATATAAATTGTGGTAAGGTAACTAGGAAATAAGGGCTTCTTAGTAAGGTTTGTTATGAAGACACATCTCTAGGCCATCTTCAGTCTTATCGGCATGGAAAAGGCATGATCTTGACACAAGAGAAATGTATGCTCTACTTTTAGGCTGAAATGAATAAGGCAGAGGGTTCTTTTTATGCATACTATTTCTCAGTTGCCTTCCATGCAAAATAATTCTTATGCCACAGTAGCAACATTTTGGAGTGGCTTATTCTGACTTCCATTTAAAATCTCCCTTTTTTTGAACATTCTAGCATTTGACCTTGCGCTAGTGTTGTATTTGCACTAGATTGGTGTATGTTCCACATCTTTCAAAAGAAATTACAACTACAGGGACCCGTTATATTTTAGATTCCAAAACCTTTCTTTTGTCTCTTTAGTACACTTGTTTATACTTTCTCTCCATAATCCAAGAGAAAATAGTAGATATTAACTCTTCCCAAAGCCTATTCTAGAAAAGTTCTGTGGATCAATAAATATGCTTTGTATTGGGAAAAAATGTGTAAATCACTTTCGTGGATATATGAAGTGAGAAATGACTCAAAAAGAGGAAAATAAAATTCTACCTCTAAGCTATACTGGTTTATTTTTCTCTAAGCCTTACTATCTCAGTGTGCTGCATTTATTTCTTTAAAATTAAATTTCTTGAAGGAGAATGTCATTCCAGCCCTTCTTTAGTTGGCCTCGGATATTTGCATATAACTGCCATTCCAGTGAATATGGGTTTTGCTTAGCAATTAATCAGTGTCGGATGCCTGCCATTGTAGAAAGTAATTCACATGCAGATAGTTTTCTTAACTTTCCTCATTGAATTCCAAAAAAAAAAAAAAAATGTATGAAGCATCTGGATTTTTGACATACCTCTGTCTCAAAAGCTGAAGTGATAATGTTTTCATTGAAGAGATGTAAAACACCTGGGGTGTTAACATTTAATTGAAGCTTGTTTTTTTTTGAAAGAACAGAAATGAATTTGTACTTTGTCATAATTTATTTCCCAGAAGATGCAGTTGCTCCACAGAAATCAGACAATAGAACTGTTACCTCATTTGATTTTTAGCCAGATAATCAGATTGAACAATATCTAACCAATATTAATGATATTGTAATGAAAGCACTGAAAATACAAATAAATACTATCTTGTGATAAATGTATATTTCATTCAACAAAAGCAAATACTGTAAATATAATTTTTACTTTTACTTTTTTCAATCTGTAATACCACCTGGCAATATTCAAAGACAAGTGTGCCCAGAATAATCTTGTCTCATTGAATTTGGAAGAATGTGAATTGTGCTATTTAACTGTTACATATAAACGAAACTTATAATAGAAAAGAAGATTTTAATAGGTTAAATGTAAAAAACTTCAGGACAGTAGTCTTGGTAAATCATACCATTTTAGAGAGGGAATCTTTCACATTTTAAATTGAAAAAAAAAAAACCCTGAAATTGTCAATCTTCTTTTCTATCTTCCTTGTCCATGACACTAAATAGAAGCCACAAAATTGAAGGATCTTTATACACAAAAATTTAAAATCACATGTTCATGAAATAATATAATTTTTTTCATCTTTATTTCTGATGAGGACTTAGAAAATTAGTGAAGAATTCTTTAAAGGTAAAATCATTGTTGCAAGATTTTTCTTTTTTTTTACCTCAATTCCCAGGATTTGTTGTCTCGCCTTCGAAGGATAAAGAGGTAGACACAAAATAAAATGAGCAGCAGGCAAAATATTAGAGTATAAGATTAGAAAGTAAGAGTAGTATCAAAGCTCTCTTTATAGAGAGAGGGCACTGGAAAGTGAATGTTCCGGACTGTAAGCAAGGGTCTTTGTTTTATAAGGTTCTAGTCAGCACGCCCTACTTTTCCCCCTTGTTCCTTCTCAGGTTCTACCTTTATTGGCTAGGTAATCCTAAATGCCTACTCATTCCTTTTTGACCGGCTCATTTCCATTGTATGAGGGGTGGTCTATGGCCACACCGTTCCTTTATGGTCTACTACTTATTTTTAGTTAGGTCTTTTGTTAAATTCCTGAGGAGAACCTGAAGGGGAGTTGGTGCTGTCTGTTACATTCTTAAGAGGAACCTTATGCCCAGAGAGGGTTTGCTGTGGTCAGATGCTCCCAGCTCTGTTTATCCCCATCCAGGATCCTCAGGTCTTAATCTTTCTCTCTCTGCCTATTTTATCCTATCTTTCCCTATCGAATTATGACATAGAAATATAAAATGAATACATTTCACAGGTTTTATTTAGCACAATAATTAATGAGGGAACCAACAATGTATTAAAAACTAGTTCAAAGAATTTGAGGAACACACATGTAAAGACAAATAGAAATACTGAAGTGAATGTGCAAATACATACAAATTTGGTCACTATCCATTGGGCAATGAACAATTACATCTCCACTGGACAAAATTCATTTGCATTTCTAACAAAAATATTTATTTACATTACTATCAGTTTTCTACAACTTACAGAATTATAAAATACATTTAAGACCATGAAAAGCTAAAATAATCTGAGTGTTCTGGACAAGCCACCAGTAATCAACTTTGCTCATTTGAAAGTCTTTTACATTTTTTCTTGATTTACAAAATTTGAATACTTGCTATCTGTTTATATGTTAGGGAGCAAGAATTCCTATCCTCTCAAAGTCCTTCTAGCTGGACTAAGAATCAAATTGACATGAGACAGATTAACAGGAGAGAATCAAATTTAATAGAGTACATACAGGGAATCCACACAGACATGGAAATTCCAAAGGCAGTCAGGCAAAATGAGGTACACATATCATCCTGAATTAAGGAGAAAGGGGTAGGGATATGGGACTCTCGGGGCTGGGGGGGGGGGGCGGGAAAAGGACCTCACAGGACAATAAGAAGAAGAACAAATGTTTGGTAATTAGATATTTGTCCTGCCATACAGATGGGTCACTCGTATAAAATTTATCTTTGCTAATAGAAAGATCCCAAAATTAGACTCTTCTATATATTTAAGGGAGGGGCAAAAGTGTCTCTTGAGCCTGTAAGGTCTTGATTGCCTTCAGCTCAGAACAATCTTCACATCAAAGTAGACCATCTTGGGATGGCCTGACATCAGCCCCTACAATACAAGTAACTGCAATTAATCTTTACCAAGGATAAGTTTAACCTTATATCCCATTTCACAT